TCTCGCCTTATATAGGCATAAATATGGTCGCAGCGTCCGTCTTTTGTGTACAGTCTGTGTGTTTGATGATGGGTGCATTCTTTTGCATCGACCACATTGGCTGCGGCGCCTCGTCAGTAACACTCAGCAGTGCACCTCGTGCTGTTTGAATGCGAGGCCTGTCAGGCAGGATGAGAGCACTTCCAAAATGTCACACAGAATATTTTCGAGTGTTTTCTATCGTGTGGAGAAGTTTCCAGTGTGCTGCTGGTTTGTGTTGGAGCTGTTTCCCTTTGTGCTTCTCTTAAACAGCATGATGATGGTGCTCATGCAGACGCACCGCCGTCGCTGCGTTTCCTGTGAATGTGAAAACGAATAATTAATATTCATTTCTGAGGAGTCACAGAAAGTCTCGAGAACTGCACAGATGGTGTTTAATCAGGAACAGGAAGTCAGCCGTGTTTTCCTTCTCATTCCCGACGAGATTTTCGCAGCAGGTCCGCGACTTCACAGATTCCACGTTTCTGCTGCACGAGCCGGCGGCGGCGGAGCGTCTGAGGAAGATGTTCCGACGGCTGCTGCTGTTCCAGCTGTGCACGTGCACGTGTGCGTGTGCACGGACGCTTACAGTGTGAAACACTTGACTTCCATATGAACGTGATCACATCCTGATGTCTTTCTTTCTGCTCCGAGGCCTCGGTCACAGAGGTGCAAACAACAATAGGGTGAGGTCAGGCTGAGTGGGAGTGGGAGTGCTATTAGCATGAGAAAGCCTTCATCCTCGGCTCTCTCTTCCTCTTCAGTCACAGGACGGTTCGCTCTTCTTAAGCGTGAAGTTCAGTTTGTGAGGAAATCTTTGTCCACTGGTCAGAAGCTGTGGTTTGTTTCACTGCGGTAAACAGAAGAGACGTGAATCTGTCACAGAAGACAACACTGAGATGAATTTAGCCTCACATGATTCATATTTATTAGAAATAATCATTCACTAATGACTGATCCAAACATGGATCCGTGCACGGTGCTCAGATTATTAGTTCTGAACTCGTCATATCTGATGTTTCTTTTGATACAAAGAAGCAACTTGTTCCTGCAACATTTCTGGATTATGGAGATACGAATGCTTCTGCTCGATGTCTTGGAGCGGTTGATGCCTTCTGCCCTGACTGACCCCTGTGAGCTACACCGTCAGGTGGGACGGCTCGCTTTGGCCAATCAGAGGACGTCTCGTTTATACAGGTTTATATATAAGGCCGTGCTGGGATTGCTGCGCTCCTGCACGTGCTCCCTGCTTGCAGTGAAACATGCTGCTCGTGTTTCTCTTTCTGTTTATTTGCACAAACTGAACTTGGTAAAAGAGTTTTTGTCTGTTTGGCTGCAGAACGACTGAGAAACGAGTTCATTTCATTATAAATGCTTTTAAATCTAAACAAAGAATCTTTGAGGCCAGCTCCATAACACACAACTGTTTCAGCTAGATTGTGTCATTTTAATTGGATTTAATTGTGTGTGTGTTGTTGTTGCCTGTGTTTAATTGTCTAATTTTTGTAACTGAAATATGCTGCTGCCAGTTTTGAGCAGGCCTCCTTTGGTTTGTGGGATCTTCCTGTTCTTCCTCGGCGACAGCATCGAGCTCGCCTTTGATTAAAAACACGTTTACTGCACAGAATCACCAGGATTGATTGAATATTTGTTCAGTGCTTTTCTTTGGATGGATATAAACTTTGATGAAGTCTTCCTGAAGCGCCACCAAACGAGCGATTTGGCTGCGATCGATGCCAAACGCTGTACGCGCCACATGCAGCCGGCGCAGCAGTAACGAGGAGCAGCTCCGCTCTGCTGCTGCTCGTGTTTGTGAAACAGAGACAGGGAGGGGGTATGGAGTCTTCTGAACAATGTCTTTTGTTGGCAGCAAACTTCCAAAATCAAATGCGTTTTGTTGTTTTTCCAATTATTTTCCCACTTGGCTTCAGGCCCTGCCGATTGGCCCTTTAGAGCCACGGCTGTTACGGGTCACATCGGGGTCGCGGATCCTGCCTTCAAGCTCGTCTGCAGCTGGCGGTCTCACACTGATGCACACGAACTGGGTCAGTCACACTGTGGGGTGAGGATGTGCAGGAGACGCAGAGAGCTGAATTACTGATTCCTGACGACTCGGTTGGCAGGGCTCAGGGAGTCGGATGACTCTCACTTTATTGCCCATTTTTTTGGCCGGAGCAGAGGAGACGTTTGCCAGATATCGTCTCTGTTGGAAGTCTGTGTGAAAATCTTGCTGTGGAAATAAAAAAAAGAGGCAGAATGTGGCACTCTCTCATTTTCGCTCACTCTTCTTTCTCTCACCCCCTACTCCCTTGTACTCTTCCTCCCTCCGTGGGCGTTCGGTACACTAAGTGCTTCGTGATTGCCGGGGCCGTGAGGAGGCGTGAACAGCCCTCAGCCAAGTGTCCCTGCTTCCCCGAGTGGTTTTTCTGGCGCTGCTTTGGTCGAGTGGCAGAGGAGTCAGCAGTCTGATCAACCACAGCGCTGCGTGGCAACGCGATGGTGCGATTTCCATAACAGCCTCTGTGTTGTTGATACATGGAATAATCATCACAGCAAAATGTCACGCAGGCTCGCCACATCTGGGAGAAGTGCTCACGTGTGCCCTTCAGGAACCAGGATGTGTGCGGGGAACAGCAGCATTGTTTTTGCTGCAGCCTGTCAACGGCAAATAATAAAGATGGGCTTGAAGGGGGGAAACATCTGGGCAGATGTGGTGACGGAGGAACTTCAGTTTGAGTTTGTCGCCTCTCTCAGA